ACTCGGGGCCGGGGAGATGGCTCAGTAAGATAAGCGCTTGACTGGCAAACACAAGGATCTGAGTTCAATCCCCGGTTCCGCAAAAAAAAAAAAAAAAAAAAAAAAAAAAAAAAAAAGACCCTAAACTCTTCTGAGTTGAAGGGACAGTGCCAGGGACCTTAGCATTGAAGCCCCAGTTTGGAGGAGCAAAGGTAGCTTCTCTGACAGCCAGCTGCTGTCACTGACCCTCACTGGTTCAGTTCTTCTGCCTACAAGATGTCCACCAAGGACCCTTTCAGATGCAAGGAAAGGAATGGGCTGCAGAGTGGAGAGGAGCTTTATTGGAAGAGAAGGCATCTAGACTTCAGTCTAGTTTTCCTCCTAATTTGATGAAGACCACCAAATATCAGGGCCTTAATTTCTTATTTTATAAAACAGGAGGCTAAGACTGAAGATCTCTTCCTAACTGAAATTTCATGGCTCTGAAGATCCTGGGTCTACCCAACTCCAAGTAAAAGCAAGCTATCACATGGGCACAGATCCCAGTTTACCACGGCTTTGGTATAACATCCCCTGCCCCAGAGACTTGGGAGGATGTGACAACCACTATTCAGTTGCCGCAAAAGGTGCACTGTCCTTTCCTCCCTATAGATCTATAGCTGCTTCTATGAAAAACTGGTCTTGTACCCAAATTTGTTTGGGAAATAAGTCACAGAGAACATGAAGTGGAAAGGATACATTAAAGAGACAGCAGAATTGGTAAAAAGTAGGAATCAACTGGAAGTGGGAGTGCAAGTCAATTGAGGGAGAAATCTAGAGCAGATTACTCAAGGCTTCTAAATTGGGAGCTAAAAAAAAATAAATCGGGGCGCCAATTACAAGTGATGGTCACAGGGAGAAAAGCAGGCAGGGTAGGGGAGGACGGTGTCTAGGTTTGCGACATCTAGAAGGAGCCACCTGATGCATGCTTCCCCTTGGTGGGGGGTCTGTAAACTTCTCTATGAAACAACGAAGGATCTCAAGATGGGCATGACTAAGAACATGGAACAGCTGGTCAACCCAAGGCTCTCAATAGTTGTTATGGGAGAAGAGGGGACGGGAAGTTCTCAGGTTCCTTAAGTTTGTTGAGTAGCAATGTAAAATGAAAACAAGTAGATTCAGTTTGTTACAGTTCTTTGATCCTGAGGAGTCCTTAAAATGCAAAGGTGAATGGTGAATCTGTAAGATATGGATATGTAGGAAACTATATTTCCCAGATTTATTTTCACAGAATCCTTTATTTATACTATTAACAATTAAGATAGGCCTATGGTTTTCTGTAATTGCAGCTTGTTTTGGTAAAGCTTCAATGTAACACACCTACTATGGAATAACTACTTTCCTCTTACACTGACAGTTATGGTGATTTTATGGCTCCCCAAACCTAAAGGGCCCATTATGTAGCTCTTCTCAGGAAAGTTTGCTAGCTCCTGACTTAAAGGAATAAAACAAGGTGTGAAGGGGTTGTAAGGTGCAGCTCAGTGTCAGTGCTTCTCTGGTGTGTGCAAGACTGTGGGTTCAATCCCCAGGGCTGGAAAAAAAAAATTTTTTTTTAAGAAAAGAAACAACAAAAACGTATAGAGAATCTCTTTGGAAATGAACGATGCTTCTCTCTGAAAGTGCTACAGCACAGAGCAGCGGTGACAAGCAATCTCAAGAAAGACTGACAGGCCGGGTCCAAACTTTGGCTTTGCTACTTAGTGGCTGTGAAGTATATTGTCTCCTAGCTGTAAAATTAGGCTAGTGGGTTCTTGTGATAAACACATTAAATAAGTACAAAGTGCCTGACATCGTATAAGAACTTCATATAGGTTAATTATTATTATTATGTTCTCTCTTTCACTGAGAGAGATAGCAAGCTTCCTTCCCGGGGATTTCTAGGCAGAAAATGTTCTAAAAGATTATAGGAGACAAGAAATAAAACTAATACTACAGGCTGTTCCAATGTCTAACACAGACTAGAGGAATACAAAAATTCTAATTTTTTAAAAAACACTACTGAGCTGGGCTTGGTGGCACTTGCTTATAATTTCAGTACTTTGAGGGTTGAGACCAGCCTGGGCTACAGAATAAGTGCAAGGCCAGACTGAACTACATAGGAAGATCCTGTCTCAAAAATCTAAATAAATTAAATAAATAAACAGATAAACACTACTAGGAATTGAACCAAGGCCTTCATAGTATACTACCCCAGCACCTCCTTCCATCCCCTGTGAGACAGGGTCTCCCTATGTAGTTCAGGCTGCTTTCAATCCACTATGTAGCCCAGGCCAGCGATCCTCTTGTCTCAGACTGCTGGGAGATTATAGGCACGTGTCACCATGCCCAGCTGCTTTTTTTTGTTAAATCATTAAATCTCCCAGGTTTGGCTTGAATTTGCAGTTTTCCTGTCTTACTCTCCCTGAGTGCTGGGATCACAGGCACGCGCCACCATGCCCAATTGAGATTCTAAAATATTATAGTTACGGTGCTATGGTTTTGTGATTCTTTAAAGTTAACAAGCCACCAATGCTGGTGACTTTATTTTCCTGGAGAATATACTCTGCAACTGTTATTTTGCCCAGGGAAGGTGCTCCACCTCCTCTATAGCCACAAGGACAACCATATTAGTGTTGGGACTGTTCCTCTGAGGAAAATCAAAAGGCTCCGAGAGACTCCAGCAGATTTTGGTTTCCACGTCTAAGAACAACCTTGTCTGGGAATGTTTCCTTCTCTTCATATTGTGAAATGAGACACATACATGCTCAGAATACAAATCAGCAGCCAAAACACCCTTGGCAGTGCAAGAGACGATGCTGTAGAAGGCAGCCCTGCTTGGCTGGGACAGGCGAAGCACAACTGCAGAAGTAGAAGGGACCTTGGCACTTTCCAAGGCAACAGAAGCATTCACAGGTGAGAGAAGGAACAGATGCTAAAAGAGACAAGTGGCAGGGGCACTTCCTCTACCACGGTGGTTTTCAAGCTGCCATTTGTCCAGAAGATCTCACGTGAGGCTGCAGAAACTGCAAGGGTCCCTCACCCTGGACTCCCTTTCTCTCAGGAGTATCTTTGTACTAAATAATTTCAGAGGGCCTTCCTGGGGCTGAAATTCTAGTTTCAGCAGGAATAAAAAGACATATTATTGTACAGGACTTTCTACAATAGACCAAAGGTCCTGCCCATCCCCTTGGGGAACACTGGTGCTGTAGCCTTGACAAGTTCTTTTACTTGTTCTAAGTAAAAGAACCTCTTGGGCCTAGTTGTTTTCTTGTTTTCTTATTGAGACAGGGTTTTGATATATATATATAGTTCAGATGGGCCTTGAATTCCTTTTGAAGCCAGGCTGGCCTCAAACGTGTGGCAATCTTCCTACCTTAGCCGCCCAAGTGCTGGGATTACAAGGGTGCATCACCATGCCCAGGCTTAAGTAAACAAAACAAAACAAAACCAAAAAAAACTTCATGATTTTTACCCAAATAATTTTTTTTTTTTTTTTTAATTTTAGGGAAGGGTCTACAGGGTGTTCAGGGTCTTGCTACTAGACTGGACCCATAGTGATCCACCTGTTTACAGTCTCCCAAGAGCTGGGATTACAGGCATGTTCCACCACACCCAATCTCAACTGCTGTCTCAGCACACCCTGGGGGCGGGGCTGGCATGGACCCCCCCCCCCCATGCCAGCTTGCAGGCGCTTTAATGCACTGAGCTATTTGGCCAGCCCCCAAATAATCTTACATTCAACTCACTGGAAGCCTAACTACCCTAAAAATAATTCTACATCTGAAGGTCATGTAGGACTTCGGAATCCTATGTCTTAAACATATTATAGGCTTCCATACAATCTTTCTTTCAGAGGAAGAACCCAGACCTCAAGAGGGCAGCAATTTCTCCAAATTGACAGCAGATTGCAAAGCACCAAATTCAGCGTTCAGCGTTTATTATGCCGTGGGCAGAGCTCTTTCTGAGTTAAAAGTCTCTGCAGTTCAATCTTGGTATTTGGTATATTGGTCTTTGTGTCCCAATTTCACTAAGGCAACATCATGAGAGATACCTAAAAGTCTCAGTGCTGCTTCATAAAAGAGGCTTTGTTTATAATGTCCGTTGGTCTCTGCTCCCTAACCATAATTTTAGACTCCATCAAATAGGATAATAAAGAGAGTATATATATTAACAGGACAAAACCTTTGCAGCCCTCTCTTTATTTTTTAATTTTTATTTATTTATTTATTTTTTGGCAGAACCAGGGATTGAACTCAGGCCCTTACACTTTCCAGGGAAGTGCTTATTCCACTGAGCCATCTCCCTGGTCCCTGCAGCCCTCTCTTTAATCCTTCTTACTGTCATAAATCCTTTTGAGTTGTAGAGCCCCTAGCACCTTCAAAAGCACTGATTCTCACATCACATATGTTTTTTAGATTAATTGGTGTATTGATCATCAGATTTATATGTCTGAACAAAACAAAGCTTCATGTCTAAATGTTGCTTTGATTCTTAATTCTCCTCGTTGGTAGTCAAACAAGAGAGTACTAAACAGGAAAGAAAGAGACCTAATTAAAAACAGGCTTAGCAAGTGCTGGTGAAATTGAACTGTATTTGCCCAAATGCCCTAAATTCTCCGTGGTGCTAGAAGCAACAAAATCTGAAACTGGGAGGAGTCTTGTGAGTGCGAGTCCCAACTCCATTTAAAAAATAAAAAAAGTAGAAAAAAAATTTA